TCACTGCTAGGCTGAATCATAAATTCCGGTTTTCATACCGAGAAATGGAATTTCTTGAAAAAATTTGAGGTTCTTAATAACCTGGAAAAAAATGCTCCGAAATTCGTCGTACTAGTTTCTCCTGACAATAACGACATATTTTCAAACCCATAACCTCTAAAGTAAAATAAATTTCTGGTCAGACTCGCTCCATTGGCTGCTAAGACAGTGAAAAATTTTTTGAGGATAAACAAAACTTTGCAATGGCAAGTTTGCTCCTTTCGAAGGAATTCACTCGAACTTTTGATTCTCAATGGTAATTTGATAATTTGAGCAGCAAAACCATTCGACTATCATGGCTTTTCGCCTATTTGTTAAGAAACCCTTCTAATTGACTAAATGAAAATATTTTATTTCATACAACTTGATTAGCTAAAATGATTAAATATTATTCAATCGTAAATGATCGTAAATAATCTGAGGCTCGCCGCATTTGAATTAAGGTGAGTGGCAACGAATGCATCTTCATTAACATTGCATTGCACTGAACTAACTGAGGAGAGTCGGATATAATGGTCGGATATAATGCTTTTTTTGCATCAAAAGGAGTCCAGTTTTGCTTAAGATTAATTTCACTCTGCTACACCATTCAGCCCTTAATTAATTCTGTTTGGCTTTGCTGTTTTCAGCTTGCATTTTTCATGATTTTTATGATTTGAAGAAGTTATTTCAAGTGAATGGAACTTCAAATAAGCGCGAATAACAAAAATAATTGGGCTAATGGGTTATATCAAAATAGCTTATAGATTAAGCGAATCTAAATCAAAATTTGCATTTGAAGTGCATGTGAAATGATTCGTGTGATGAATTTTAAATATGTCATGGTCAAAATGTTGCATTTTTTGGATATCATTGATGATATTTTTGACAAAATTTTACAAATATCAATTCTTTCTCAACATAATGATTTAGAAATGAATGATTCCCTTGCCTAACCAAAGACTGATATCTTTATCATATTATCACTATCATCAATTGCATGATTGACATTATTTAATGGTCAATTAACACCTATAGCACGATTCAAAGTCATTCATCGCTTCACTGATTTATGAAAAGAACCACTCGGAAAGGACGATCTATGCCACTTGACAGGAGTAAACCGTTAAAAGTGAATCCGTGCTTCGATCACGAAATGACTCGCTTACGAAGGAATATCATCACTCAATTAAACAATGAAGTAATCAAACCAGAAATTGTGAAATCTGTTAGAAAAAGGAGATACATATCTTCTGATTAAATACAACGATTCCATTGTCCACAATCTTTACCTATTATCTACCAATTTCTTTAATTATACAATGACCGCTGGTCATTTTACTCACTTCTTGATGATGGCCAATAGAAATGGCACCCATTGGTACGATAAATGAAGATTTTGCGCAACTAACTATACAACTGTTTTACGTGGATTTAATGGTTTTCCTTTTTTTTCTAAGCCGATCACTGCAATAAATTTTATGCAGTAATTACTGAATTATATAGTAAGATAGCCATACACAATGAACGAAAATTTTAAATAATACATAATGAACAGAGAGAAAACAACGGGAAGAAAATAAAAAGATAAAATATATTTTTTCCTGGCGATGAGATTCTAACTTTTACGATGATTCTTCCTTTTTTTTTAGCAAATCGTATTTTTTTGGACCTTCGAATCAATAGGCCGTGTCGGCTAATTTCTACTTATATTTATAAAATTCAATGAAAATTCAAACTGGTACCAATCAGCACCAAAAGAAATTTTCCCATTCATTGTTTTTTCTTGAATAGGTCAGTGTTAGATTGATTAGGGGACGGGATGACCAAGATCAAGCCATAACGTATTCGATTATTGCCTCTAGACAGGAGTTAAGTGTTATTAAAGATGAATTCGATTGATGCCCCGAAAGAGTCATACCCAACTTAGAAGATTGCCAGTGGTCTTGTCAGTTATTCAAAAGATAGCGATATATTACGGAAATTTAATGCATCAAACAACAAAATATAATAATGCCTAGCAGCAGACTTGATTATATTCGAAAATAATTATTTTCATTCATCCAAATATAGTATAGAAACAAGTATAGAACTACTCAGTAGGTCGTTGCTCTAGTTTCGGGACGCCGATGCTTAGGTTCCACCCTTGCCAGGAATGAACCAGTCTTTCGAAAATCCAGATAACGTTGGTCAATCTATCCTTCTATCACTAAGAGAATAATTGACAAGATTTATCCGTCGCGACAAGTCAGCAAAGCCAACCTAAGCGACCTTAGAAAAATAATCCAGTTAACTATTCTACACTGAATTCTAAATTGAAAAATTATAATAATCAAAATATAATCAATTATAATGATAATAATCTCTGAATAATCAAAAAAATTCAAATTTTAGCCCTCATCCTGAAAAAACCGCCAATATAAACTGGAAAACTGCTTTATTCAGCAAGTTATCCCCAATTGACTCTGTCGAAATGGTTTCCTCTTAACGATCAGTCAGTAGTCAGCTAAATCAGAAATTATGAATACTATTAGAAGAAACTATCATCTCTTTTTTCAAGAGTTATCGGCCTAAATGAAAGAATTTCTAACTAAAATTCATTTCTAAATGCGAGATAATACTAATTAATGGTTCTTCTTTTTTTAATTTAAATAATTTTGCCTAATTCCTCACCGTCGATAATTGAGGCCAATTGTTGGAGAAGCATATTTGTAGGAAAAAATTTTCATTAGTTCATCAAAGGGTAGGATAGTCGGGTGGAAAGCGACTCGGCCACCACATTAAGAGATAAGAATTCATTTATCAATTTCGATTATGATAGCCTCTTCTCTTTTAGGAGTTAGCCTCTCATTAAAAATCCTCTGTCGCCTATGCTTTACATTTAAATCCATGTCACCTGTTTTTCTTGACCGTATTGACAGCGCAGCTAGATTAGCCAGAAATGGTGAGTTACTTATTCGTTTATGGATTATGTCGACAATGTGAAAATAATTTTTAAATATTTCGTAATATCAAAAAATTATGGTGATTTGCTCGTGGAAATTCCTTATTGCTTGATGCCTAATTCTTAATGCCTAATATTTTATGGGAAACTATTGGCGCCACTGACTCATTCACTGATTTTGCTTAACATATATACATATATACAATTTAAAATTACATATTTAAAATAAGCGAGGCGACCTGCCTTTTAATTCTTTCGCAACCAGTATACCATTAAGGCGTTTCAAAAATCCTTTTTGCTTCTGACATTCCTTGCTTGGATAGAATTTTCTTTTTTTTATGAAGATATGGTGATGATGATAATGACCACTGGTCATTTGTTTTATATGAATGGCACTGATTGGCACGATTAAGAGAAAGACTGTGAAAAACTACCGAATCGCTTTTGATGTAGCACCATATCCATGACCTTTTTATGACGACGAATATGACCGTTATGTCTCCAAAAAATATTTCTATTATTAAATATTCCCTATAAGAATCATATTCTCAAAAATCATGATTTTTTAATTTTTGGTTAAAATTATTGAAATTTTAAAGATCACCTAGTAATTTCAATAATTAAATCAATAATTTCTTATAGTTATTTCATTAACCGACTATTTCAATTTGGCGAAAGAAAGCCGAATGGATAGTGGTTTAAATTATCGAGTTAAGGGGCATTCTCCTTCCTTGGACATGAATAAACTTATCATAAACCACTCCAGTTGTGTAGTTATATTACCAGGCGACTCGCAAACAAGTTTCAATCCACACTAATAGCAGTGAAGCAGGCCTAACTAAAAGTGATGAACGCTGCCACCTATTGAAATTTCCACATGAAAAACCATATAGCAGAAACAATGAAAATAAAGAGAAACAATGAAAATAAAAGAAATAACTACAAAATTACTCTAAAATTAAGTAAAATTCCATCCCATTTGATTCTTAATTCCATTTGAAATTTAATTCCATTTGCAATAAAAGAAAGGCGATTTTTAAAATGTAGTATTAATACAAAAGATAAAATTAAAAAATAAAGTAAAAATTCTAAATCGCAAAAAAAAATAAGAAGGCAACAAATTTAAAAGGCGATTTTTTGGCAAAATTTATAAGTGAATATTTTATTAAAATTTAAAATTTAAACAGTGAGGTATGAATGAAAGAGAAATGGTAAATAAGAAGAAAAAAATGAAGTATGAGACAGGTTAAAAAATATTTATAAAAATAAATATCTTTAATATAAAATTTGCGCGAGAAATACAAAAATGAAATAAAATTTGAATCTTGAATCTTAAGCATTGAAATTCCTTTGCGAAACAGGATTAAATCGCCTCTGATTTCGATTATTTAGGCCTCGTTCGCGTATTCCTTTTTTATATTGCTCGTCTATCAACATTCTGGTTTCTGTTTCCTGTATCAGTGATACATTTAACTAATGATATATAATTTATATTTATTGAGAGAACACAACCATATTATAAACCGATAGTTCTGCTTGAATAATCAGATTTATTTATTTCTAAACTAATATCAAATCAAAAATATATTCCAAAAATAGAGAGAAAAAACTTACATCTTTTCTTTGCCTTTTTGAAATGAATTTCTTTGAAAAACTTAAATTCTGGCGTCCCAAACTGCAAAATGTAAAAATTAAATTAAAGCAAATTATTGAAAAATTTCGGCCGGAAAACATGGACAAAAATGAACAAATATTGCTTTTGTTTTCAAATAGCCTATATGATTTCCAAAAATTAAAAAAATTATTGCATAAATTATAATAAAACTAAGATTTTCGAGGAAAACATTTCAAACTCTGCAGTTTGTTCTTTTCAATTTCAAATTAAAAAATGAAAAATTTTATTTTTATTACGATTAACCTGGATAAAACTAAGATGAATTTAAAACGTAAAAAGATCAGTAAAATTAGCAGATTTGTGGAATCAATAAAATAAATGATTCCAAATTTCTTTTTCATCTTATATATTGTAAATCTTCCATCAAATTTCAGACAATTTTGAATCTAGATGCAATAAAATTAAAAGATACAATTCAGCCATTTCTACATCAGGTATATCTTTGATATTAAAATCATCCGGTTCTTCGCCATCCCTTATATTTTTATAATACATCATCAATTTCTGCAAATTTAAATATTTTATAATTAGTTTCATTAATTATATTTTATGAAATATTTTATATTTACTATAGGATTTTTTTAAATTTTCTTTATTTTCATCAAATTTTTAAAAATTCCTGCAATAGGCTTCACCGCAACAGATTCAATCATACAAGATATAAAGAAACCTCAACTTCAGGATTGAAACCTCTGAATGACATTCGTCCGAAAACTAAATCTTGAAGAACATCACAACTGTTTTCAAAAACTAGCTTTCGTCTGAATATAAAGAAAATAAATGGAAAATATAAATAATAAATTAGACAGATGAGGAATATTCAACAGTTCTTCTTATTAACTGAACTTTCTTATTATTTTTTAACTATATTAAGGAAAAAAAAAGTTGATACTTCCTGAATAAAAGGTTCTTTGAGCAAAAAATAATTATTTCAACAAGAAAATAATTAATAAACCGCCTAGTGTTTTACAAACTGAATGCTGATATAGAAATTAACCGCCTAGTGTTTTACAAACTGAATGCTGATATAGAAATAAAGTAAAAAATTTTTTTAAAAAAATTTAAAGCAAAAAATTTTAAAAATTTTAAGATTCCAAAGTATTTTTCGATGAAAAATATGTAATTTATATTTCAAGAAATTCATTCACTAATAGCAAACGAAGCGACCGCAATTATATTTCATTTGAATGAATAACTATTTCTTCACTATTTCTTCATCTTATGGAAACAGTAAATGAGTGAGAAAGTAAAAGAAATAAGCTATCTTTGTTAGATCCCTAAAAAATAATATTAAAAAAAATAGACAAATTTTTAAAGTTCAATTTATAAATTAATGACTGAATTTTCTTGCGATGGCCATTCGAAGTTTCACCAACATAATTATTCTGCAATTCTTTATCTTGCTTCCTCTTTTCTTTCTCATCGAGCCGTTTCTTCGTTTTCTGCATAAACTGTAAAAATAATGAAAAATTAAAATCAAGATTAAAGAAAAATTACCTAAGATATCCAAAGGAAAAAAAAACGTAGATAAAAATATCCAAAATCATCAATCATCAAGAAACCATACACTTCATTCATTTAAAAAAAATCTCATTAAATCCCATTAAAACAGGAAAACCAAGCAAATAACGATTAAAATTTTGAATCAAAAAATGAAATTTAAATAACCGAAGTTCAACTAAAGTTAAAGAACAAAAAAACGATCCGATATTTTGTATAAAAAAATAAACACATCGAATAAAACCAATCTGAAATTGAAAAAAAAAAATTCCAAAAAGAATGATCAAAAGCATTGCAGATATTTTATTGAGAATTTTGATTAATATTAAAATATTAATTGATTAAATATTGTTTAATAAAAATTAACCATTTTGATTCAATAAGATTAGAAGAATTAAAGATTTAAATACTATTTACAAGATATTATTATTGAATAGTATTATCCCATATCAAATTAAACTCTTATTTTCACTTGTTAATCATTTTCGCCTTAACATGAATTTTAATGCTACCAGAGCTAATAGACTGAAATAAGCCTGTTAAGCCTGTTTGCAAAATCTATGTCCTATTTCCCTTTTTTTACTTCTTCCTTTTTCTTTTTGACCGTATTTTATTCACTTCTATAATTTTCATTTCTACTTAAAGAAAACTAAAAAGTTTGAGTGGATGGTATTAGTTTATTGAAAGGAAAAGAATATTTTTTAAAAAATATTGCAATGAATACGAATAGGAAGCACAGAAGGAAAGGAAATAAAAGGCGAAATGAAGAAAATAAAAGTTTCGGTCTGCGCATCAGATAAGACAAGTGCCGAAAAAAAACGAAAGGACAAACCTTCATCTTGAGAAGACCTGAAGAAATCGTTCCACTGTCCATTTATAATTAGTTGAGTACCAAACTGTTAAACTGAAGAAGGAAAAACAAAATTTGACACAGCCGCTTTATCCGCCTCAAATGCAAAAAATTTTTAAATTAAACGAATGACAAATAATCAGAAATCAATGGCACTGATCAATGAAATTTAACAAGTCTTTCGAATCTAAAAATCAAACATTTTCGAATTATTTAAGCCACAAGAAGAAGAGGAAAGGACAAATTTTTATTCGTTTTCCTCTCATTTTCTTTTTTCTTCATTATTGCTGCACTTTCCCCTTAAACCTAACCATTTCCTTTACTGAATTCACACCGCATTAATCTCCTAGTTAATTAATCACTCGCTCAACTATCCATTATGGTTCCAAGCTTTAGAGAGCCGCTTGGGGACTTTTGGATGACAGACTTACTCCTCCAGCGGGCAGAAGCCAAACAAAGAAGTAACTGAGGCAACACACTCACCCTCTACCTCTTAATGCTTCCACACAACCATACATCCAACTTTAAATTACGCCTCAAGTTACTGAATAATCGAAATGCCAAAAAACAAATCTTAAATTCTATAAATTCAGCCGAAGCTGCTGATTAATAATTATTCAGAGACGGAAGCTGCCTTTTCTAACTTTGCAGTAATAAAAAATTTGAAAATTTTCTGAAATTGCTTTTAGATGCGGTAATAATAAAAGGAATTAAAAAGCAGTGTTTCCTGTTTCCTATTTAAAAAAGAGAACTGTGAAATTCGCCTAATTGAGAACCTCGCGGGAACTCCAAATTTCTCTTCTACGATTTTATTGAAAACTGTCAATTCCATTGAAAATCTGCGAATAATTACTGTGAAAAACGGTTTTAGGTCGTTTTTAGATTGCATCTATGCGAATCAACAAAGAAATAATTTCAAAAAGGTTGAAAAATGGTGCGGCAGTCTCCCCCTGTCGCGAGGTGCTGGAACTGCTCGAAATTTTTATACTCTATTTGAAGTTCGGCGACCTGGTGCAACAAATAATTTGTTAGGAGCTAACAGGAATGGTACTCGTTCTGACATCAATATTAATGCTGACGCTTCAAGTAAGGGGCCGAAAATCTGTAGCCGTTTATTTAGCGATGATACGAATTTATCAGCTGTGATATGAATTTATCACTGATGATGTGAATTCAAATTCGAAATATTTTACCAATAAATTTGAAGCAACTCATTTTTTTTGTTTATTTTCTTGTAAACAATCGTCTTTTTTCGGATATTCGCTGCATTAATTTGTTAATCGTCTTAGGTTGTGGTAGTTGTTTAACGTCTTCATCTCGAAATGTCTTGAGAAACTATTAATTTTGATAATTTTTCTTTTTTCTTGAATGGTTCAACTTTTTTATTTTAGTAAATACTATCAAATATTTATTATATTTAATTATTATTTTTTAATTATTGGGAATAAAACGGCTTAGATTGTTGCTCAATTCGGAGCGCCAATATTAAGGTTCTATTCCCTGCAGAAGTAAACCTGTTCAAAAATCCGGGTGATGCTCGCGACTCACCTGTATTTCTATCGCCAAGGGACTCTCTGGCATATTTGTGCTGTGCGACAAAGCCAGCGGAGTGCGTTTAACCAATAATCTTTCTTTAAAAAACTCTTCTCTTAACTCTTTAACTCTTTAAAAAAAACTCTTTAAAAAAAAAGTCTTTCGTATAGCCTTCGTTTTTTGACTGATGCAAAAATTGTTGAAGTGAGAAGGGAAGTAAAATGAAAGTAGTCTCTCGCCATTCTCGGTTAGCTTCGTTGTTTGCGTGGTGAGACGAGGACATTGCCAGAGAGTTGCTTGGGAATAGAGTTATATATGGGTGTGTAGCACCGGCCGAGTTCATCATGACAAGTTTTTCTGCCGAGGGCCAACCATATTTGTGATACAAGTGGTCCGGCTCTGCCATTGTATAAGCGGATATCTTTATAAGACTACTCACTGGGAGGATTTTTTATTCATCGTCCTACTAATAACACTTTCTTAATACGAATCTGTTATCTAATCTCTCACTAAAAGCAGTCCGGGTGAAGGCTCACCTGTACTGCTATCACCGAATGGCTCTGTGGCAAATAGGTCAAGTAAATCGCAAGCAATATCTGCATATTTCGACGCACGTATCATTCTTAATCTGGTGGCATACGATAAATATGCGAATCAGGCTTATGCACAGCAGTACCAAAAACTCTCGAGCTGTAAGCTAAGAGCTGTAAGCATTACCTAAGGTATATCTTGCTCTGAAAGTGGACAAAATCTCACATAATTGCATCAACATTTGCTCGAATATCATCTATATTAATGTAAGGATGTAATCACATTTGCACTAATTTGGTCATGTTCTTTCATGCACATCAATTTACGCATATCTCGCTAATTGCCAAGTTGTTTGATGGATTGCTTCAAAAACTTGGGGGGGGGGGCAGTTAATACCTGGACCGATACGGTCAGGAGAAATGAACGCATAGGCTACCAACTGATATGCCTGATTTAGGAAAAAGGAGTGGCTTCAATTATTTCCAGGATTCGATCGGATCGAGAGGTTCAAGAGCATCATACTTTCGGCGCCAGTGGACCGAGTCAAGCCAGAAATGTTGCCACTCCTTAGTAACACAGTATGCAGTTACGAACGAAACGAGAAATGGTAAGCAATAGTCGCTTACTTGCTTTATATTGCTTAAGATATTTTTTAACAGATTTTGCCTGGTATTTCGGCCTAAGTACCATTAATTTAATTTAGTGCAAAGCAACAACATTTAAAAGAAATTCATAGCAAAACAACCGCTTTTAAGCCATTGTTACATTTACAAAACATTTTTCTTCTCTAATTCTGTCTTATTGGAAGAAATCATTGAATAAATGGATGAATGAATGAATTCGTATACGTGCCATTCCTGTGAAAAAAATTACTCAAAAAATCCAATCTGCTTATTAACTCAGCTGAATAATGCAAATGGTTTGAAAAATGCGATAGGCAAATCGCTGCTCGACTATTTTGTAAGAGGCACTCATCACTTCTAGTTAGGCTAGTTTCACTTGCAACTAGGATGACTTTCGCCAGAGATCACTTTTCGATGGGAACTGATCCCCAGTATTGCCTTAATTTTTCAGCTACTCCTGCTTTATTTCTGCCAGTGGCACGAGCCATACCATTTTTTTTGAAACAATGACATAGCTTAAAATCTCACGATTATTTATTAAAAAAATGAAAATTTCATTGATTATTCTAAGGAAATATTGTTACTTGAAGGACTCGTTCATCTGAGTTTATTCAGTAGAATCTGCAATTTTAAATAAAAAATAAAATTGAATGATAATTAGCAGAATTTGAAAAAATGTTTATTCGAAATTTGAAGAATTCAACAGTTGTATATATCGCTCTCTCTCAAAAATATTTTTTTTTTATTTTCCATCCTCCGCAGATTGCTTCTGATTTGTCGGAAATTTCAATTTTTTGCGAAAAAAAAACTTAATGGGGTTGTGATTAATGCAATTGAAGAAAAAGAACCAAAACTTCATGTATGATTGATTAAGATGGATGCAAAATAGAAAATATAATGATTTTAATAGATATAAGCAAGTACCATGAAGCAGAGGAGAAAAAAAATGAGATTCACGACTTAATTTTGAGTATGGAGTTTTTCACGACATATTTCAGATATACATATATATATATATATACTTGAGCAAAGTAATTTATTTTACATTTATAATTAAAAAAAGAAAAAATTGGTCTACATTAGGCCTTCATTATATATTTAAAGGCCTGAAAATTTAGCACATTGAAAGAAAAAACAATCGTCATGGCAATGACCAAACACTAAAAAAGAATCTTTAGCAGGACGTTCGGAATGTCCGACATGACTGATGATAATTAATAAGAATAATTATTATTCCTAAATTATTAAACTACGAAATAAAGCATAGAAAATATAAAATAATTGTTTTAAGATGGTTTATTCGGCAGCACCGCACTATGGTAATTTCTTATAGAGATGATATTTATAATTTTAATATATATTTATCAAACCACTAACTGATCGTTCAAGATTCTCTGAAAATGTATGAAAAATACGCGAAAATCATATCGAAACTAGAAGAAAATTGAGCAATCAGTGTCGAAAAATGGATTTCTGTTTGAGGGAGCAATTGGTTTGCAATAAAGTTTATAATTTGCACCACCATTACTGTCCCAGTGAACAGCACCAGCAGCTTCATATCGTATACAGAAAAACACTTGCAAATCAAACAGAAGATAAGGTAAAAATATGCAAAAAGAAAATTGATCCTGGCTAGACAGAGGCGACCTGAAATCAGAATTTGCAAAGGTGATAAAGAGCATATAAGTTAGCAAACAAATAATAAACAGAAGACTTCGGAGTTTGCTTAATTCGCTCAACATAAAAGACGGCTCAAGTCTTCATTAAACTGATTAGTTCACTATATAAAATCCATCCAGCAGATCATATGAATTCTCAGGCAGTATTCTACAGATGTTGCATTCAGTACACAAGTTCAAGTCGACGTGTAAACGTAACAGTTATTGGTTCCTAGGTGAAAAACAAGGTTTAAGTATCTTTGTAACATTCATTTGAAAATTTAATTAAGCTGCAAAAGATGAAGCGTGTGTTCTAAAATTTTTTTATAATTTTATATTTCTAAATAATATCCTTTTTTTGCGTCAATGTTCTTGTGCCCCGCTAGATTTCAGGCATTTCTGTTGTCTGCCTGGAACTTTCAGAGGAAAAATTACAAATTAGATGAAGTGGACATGAAAAAGGTGAAATGTTAATAAGTAGGAGAAAAATTCACCCTGAATAAGCTCCATAGGTGCTTTGAAATGTTTTCCAATCATCGTAGGTGTATTTAATTTCAACCTGAAATTGAATTAAATTGCCACATTTCTATAGAATCACTTCACTTTACTTATACTTTCATTGTTTGTTAAAAAGAAATATGTTTCGATACATAAAAAATCACCTATTGAACGATTGTAGGCTAATTATTTTGACGAATTTTTCATTAAAATACCCACTTAGAAGAATTAAAACCATAATTTTGCTCTTCAGCTATTGATAATCTATTATTTTGGTTTACTTATATTATTGTCATTTGTTTTTTAAATTTAGCATTTAAATTTTGGCTGACCGATCGCAGCCCTTTCGTTAGAGAACATTTCGAAACGAAGTCGAGGTGAGTCGCCAGCAGCACTCATAAAATATTTCTTGTGGGCTTATATGCAAGCCGAGTTGCTGCTTGGATTATGTAAGGAATTATTTACATATTTAAACTTGGATTCAATAATAATTTGAGGAAACAAGCAAATTTTCTTCTCTAATCTGCTAGAAATTAAAAATTAAGAACTAAAATTATGCCGTAAAAGGCATATTTAAACTTGGATTCAATAATAATTTGAGGAAACAAGCAAATTTTCTTCTCTAATCTGCTAGAAATTAAAAATTAAGAACTAAAATTATGCCGTAAAAGGCATTTTTAAAATCACTTTTTTTTCATAAGCGACGTTTTTCACGCGAACGACGCCAGTTATTGCACGTCCGAACCACCTTACGCTTTCCAAATGAACATATCGTTCCGACGTCAACCATCTTAACTCATTTTCATTCGGTAACCAAAACTGTTTCTCCAGTGCAAATTTTGGCGCTACTGAAATTCATCAGATTTATCAAAAATTATCCCTTAGCGACAATTTCTAAGTCCATTCTCATTTTTTCACACTTTTTCTAACAACTATGCCATTATTGATTAAATTGCTTCCATTCGTTTAAAGATGAGATGTTTGTTAGTTGTCCAGAGGTGCGCCAAATTCGAATGAATGAAGTTACTCCTTTTTCCACTGCCTAAGGTGATATACTTGCTTGTCCAAGTCTCTTATCGGATCTAGCCAGGTCTTCACTGCACCTTCATGCTTTTGGAGACACCATCTTAGCTTAGCATGTGACACCAATTATTGCGCCGTGCGGTTTGATATAGAAAGATGGTTTAAGCAGCGTCAGCGACTTACTCTGCGTGACATTATCACTGGCGAATTTTTCCTGCGGGGTATGGAAAAAATTATTATTTTTATTAAGTGTCAGTAAAAACAAATTTACATAAAGCTTCAGACGCTGGATTTCCGTCATTGCATATGTTTTCTCTTGCACTTGTTTGCGCACTGACATATTCCGCTTGCTCGAGATCAGAAAATCTTACAATTTTTTTGACATAAGAGGATTTTCTCGTTGGTGACGACCGTTCACTTTTACTTCGAAGTCTAAATATTTACAATATTTTTCCATTTTTCTTATTATTGAATAATCGATTCTTATGAAAAAAATTGAAAAAAAAATTGGTGCTATTTGACACGCAAAAAAATTTGTATTTAGAATTTTTTTATTTTTTAACTAATTTTTCGTCTTTTATTTCACGAAAATAAAAATTGTAATAATTTATTCGTCTTAGAATGGAAAATTTAAATAAAAATTTCTTCCTAATTTTCGTTTAAATTAAAATTTAGATCAATTTGCACTTCGCAATACTAAGAATTATTTAGTTTTGTTTGCAAATTCAAATATATATCAAATAAATCTAATCAGAGTCAAAGCTGATTTTTATCAATAAAAATAAAACTGATAAACTGATAAAATATTTTTTAAATTTTTAAATTTTTAAAATTTTTTTATGCAGGAATATTGCCAGCAAAAGAAGGAACTTTTGTAGCGATCACGGAGCCAAAAACAGATTTGAAAGGATCGAAAGAAGTTTCAAATGTTATACAAAACGGTATTTCATCCATAAATCATTTATTAGATTTCATCAATTAATTGATTAAATAAGTTACAAATAAAATAAGTGAAATTTTAGAAATGAGAAAGAAATTTTATACACCAAAATAAAGGAACCCAAATTAAAAATTACAAATTTATATATTTTTGGAAAAGGTCGGGTTTTTTAAAAGACTGAATTTAAAATTAATGTTCTGTCGACCCGTCGAGAGATTTATAGTTCAACAGGCGAATAGGTTTTTTCTAATTTATTGCCTCAAGCAAATACTTTTTTCATTCTGTAAAGTTCGAATTCTGCAAAAGGAAAGCCAATATCGCAAAAAAATTTCTTCGCGCATTACATGTAATAAATTTAAAATAAAAATGTTTTGAAGTTGAAAAATTAGATTTCACGAATAAAGATTTATGAAAATTCTAAAAAAACGCGAAAAGATCTAAGAAAACACCTGTTTTATTAAAATTAAAAATATTGATCGAGTATCTAAAAATTTTATTAATATTTTAAATATTTACAATATTTTTCCAATTTTCTTAGATTATATTATTATTAATGGTAAATTTTAGATAATTATTAATAATGGTAAATTAAAATTAAATTTTTAAAGCAATTTTGGGGAAGTTTTTCAATTCAATTTTTATTTAATTCGATTTCTGATCAATTTTTTCCATTAAATAATTGAATGTAAAGCAAACAGCATCTGGTCATAGGAGAAAGTGATAATTGCTGGCCATTTCTGGTTATACTAGCTTTGTTGGCTGAAGGTATTAAAAAAGGTATTATTTTTGCCACAGAGATGGCTTAGAACTAGAGTTGGGTCTGATATTACGCGGTCCCTGATATGCTGTTTGCTCCTACTAGAGGAAACCTTTGCCTCTCAACGCAATAACCTAAGCAAATATCTGAAGAGGCTATTCTGCCGCTATTTCTCGAGTGCAAAATTTGATAATTATAAAATTTATTTGAATAAATAAATTTCTTTTTTCTTTTCAATGTTTTTAGATTTCAAAATTAGAAAAATCTAGAAATTAAAAATCTAGAAAAAAGATCAAATTTCTGTTTTAAAAAAACGTTTGGAAATTTATTTAAAAAATTTGCTTTTCGAAACTTATTTTTTTGACATCTTTAAAGAAATTATAAAAATGAGAGTTTAAATATTAGTTTAAATATACAATAAATATTAGAGCTTCTAAACCAGATTTTTTAAAGCCATTGATAGCCATATTTTTAGGACGAATTGGGCCATTCGAAAATCCAAAGTACTTTTTATAACTATTTTCCACATTAAATAACTATTCCTAAAAGCTATTTGCTATTTCTCTCTTTCTAAATTTTAAGCTCATAGTTTCAGATTTTTAGAGGGAGGAAACGCTAGGGAATAGAATAGGACTAGGAATAGAAAATAGGAAGCTGGATCCTCAGCAGTTAAGTATATGATTACTGCTCACCTTGTTAAGGTGCTCTCTATGCTACAAAATGTTCATAAGAGAGTCATTTCGCGTTAGAAATAGAGGCGGATAGTCAGAAATAGCCGGCCTTTCTACAATATCTGAAGGTTGACTAGTCGGAGACAATTTCGAACCCTTGGCTCACAATGCGATAATCTAATTAGTGAATCAGTCGGTTATCACAGGCCTCAGGTCGTCAACATCACATTTTTAATGACAAAATGCTCTCAGCAAAGGAGAGGAATAATGAAATCGACAATGAAACTTGGTCAATGTAGAATCCGAGAATGACATTTGCCTGATACTAATCATAGAATTATAGCTTTATGGAGGGCACACAAATATTCTCGCTTGATTAAATTCTTCCGATCTAAATTCAGATAAAAGCTATGAATTGCTTGCTTTTTCTTGATTTTTAACTAAACACCTAGTTTTATGTCTATTAAGACAAAGAATCGCTTAAAAGGATTAATTTTTCACAGTAAAGCATTCCTTAATCTATCTAATCTAATATTAGTATCTATAAATCTAGGGGATTTCCTAAAAATTCGAAATCGAATCCATTCTAAGAAGTGTTTTTAAATAAACTTACATTCCTCGAGGTTTAACATCGGAGCACTTTGCTAGCATAATTTTAACAGCTGTGCTCCTATCTGCTTTATCGTTATCTTTAAAGTACTTTTTATTCATATTTACTATTCTTCTCCAAAACCTTCATTTTCATCCAGTAAATCTTTTCAATGTACTTCATTTTCCTCAGTTCATTTATTCCAATATCCTTTCACTTATTCCTATAATTTGAAACCCCACTATAAGACATATTTTGGATTTAATCGATAATAATATCAGCAATCACCCATCATCGATACAAAACAGTAAGAAAAATGTGAGATATACTTCTTAAAAAATAAAGACTGAATAAATTTTCACCAAAAACTTTAGTGAATTAAGTCGACTGAGGAAGATTTATATCACCGAAATATTTTGAGACAGAGACATAAACTATATTCTAACAAAACTCGGATTCCATTTTTTATGACAAGTTTACTCGTCATTTGATCCATATTGCCAGCTTGAACACAACCATAGAATTGAATTACTGTTCTTAAGTTTTTTAGTTTTTTTTGGGAGCGAGGGTGGGGATAGAATGGCTCAATGTATTGTTGTTTAATTGGTAGCGCCGATACTAAGGTTCTATGCCCTGCAAAGTAAACTTTTCCAAAAATCCGGGTGATGCTGGCGACTTATCTGTACGTCTATTGCCAAGGGAATCCCTAGGGAAAGGGAATGCCATATTTGTCCAACGCGACAAGCCAGCGGAACGAGTTTAACTAGTAATGATGAGGACTCTTAAAACTAAAAAGTTTATAGAATGAATTTATAAAGTAAAAGTAAAAAAACTGGAAAGTTTTTTGAAATGTACAAAATTTTTTAATGATTTAATGATTTGCTACCAAAAATTGTTTTTTACCAGATTTCAAGAAAAGATTTATAAAGTGAATTAAGTATGAGAATAGATAATTTATTAAGGAACTAGCAAAAAGACTCGTTCCACTGATGGGGTAGAATTTTTAGAAAATTGTGTTCGTTTCCACCAAATACATGCGCAGATATTTTTACTATGAGGTTCATAACAAAAAACTGATTTTCCGCCCACGCTTAATATCACCTTCATCTTGTATGATATTCCAGTAAAGTACCATCAATTCTTGAAATGTTCTATTAACCCATTAATCCTAATTACTCATTTCGTATAACTCCAAATAACTCGCTTTATATTTTTTAATCCTCGCTATATTCTCTCATTAATAGCAGTACTTTCAGATTCATTCATGCATATCCGTTATAAAAATGATTTAAATTTAAAAAAAATCTTCTTTAAACGAAAAAAAACGTAAATTTGGAAAGAAGCAAAAAAATTTGCCGAGATTCGTGGCTTTAAGCAATATGGCAGATGATTCGAAGGGATAATGTAGCTATATCTGTAGCTGTGAGAAATATAATAAAACGCAGATCATTAAGAGGTTGTGAGGAAAAAGTTCAGAAAGAACGGATAAAATTTATTTATTTATTGAAAACCAGCCAAGCAGGGCACAAACGCCATGTTCTTGTGTTAATAACAACAGTTAAAATAATAATATAATAAAATAAAATAAAATTAACAATTTAAAGATGAAAGAAAGAAGAAATTACAAAAAAATATAATATAATACAATTCGAAATAACTATAATCGAATGGTAAAAATCGAGATTTCACACTTTCTGCATGTTGTGAACTTTTCAAATCATATCATAAATGACATTATCTATTCTTGTTTTAAAGATAACTAGGGATAGTGCACAAGCTATTTCGGTAGTTTATTCCAATAATTAATATTAAAGAAATCATGAATCCTTAGTTTAGTTCTACACATAATAATTTTGGCCCACTGGTTCTTGTTGGATTTAATCTAAAATTATAATATTTTGAACAATCTAGTTTAACATAACCATACAAAATTACAGGTATAAATTAAATCTTGTTTAATCCGACGAACTGACAGAGAATCCAGGTTATATTGTTATATTTTTTTTTATAATTAAAATTGCAATTAGGAGGCGCCTTGCAGTCCTTCAATTATTTTACTTGATTTACGATATCTCGGGAAGTAACATGTAGCATTGTAGTCAAGAACTAGTCGAACGAACGCTTTATACATTTTGATAAGGAAATCTTCAGTTTTGTTCTTAAACAAACGAAAAATAAAATTTAGTATTTTTGAGGATTTCTTTACTATGGTTCTGCAGTGAGGTTCTGAAGGTCGAAATCGAGATTTTCCACGATTATGAATGTATTTCGAGGTGAATTTGAAGGAGCACAAAGGGGAGCTCAAAAGAAAAAATAAATGGAAGAATGAGAATTAACAAAGTTTTTCAGGAAAATTTTGGGTCATTAAGTGAAAAATGGATGAAAGGATTCGTATCAAGAAACATCTTCCACAATTACTAATAAGTTAAAGTACAGCAAAGAATAGGTAAAGCGTTTCAAAGGGAACAATGGAATGGAACTTCGATATGAAAGATGGCACATGACAGAGATACCGTATATCTTCCAAAGAATGGCTTTTGAGGAATATCAAAACATTTCGGGACATAACGACGAAAGCTATCTCTCGCTTTTTGATACAGCTACTGCACTCTTTCCGGAAATAAATATTCAGACATTAGCAGATATATAATTTCTCGGTCAAATTTTACCTCAAAAACTCATAACATGGAAATAAGAAGATCGAATTTTACGAGTTTTCGCGAATTGGATCGATAAAAATTTGCTAAAAAACGATCAATTGACAGTTTTCCTCATTCTTCCTTTTTTCCTTTCGATATATTGCTAAATTTTTGTTGAACAAAACAATGTAAATATGTGAATTCAAAAAATATTAGAAAAAATTTTTACAAACAAAACCGATCGAAAATAAATATTTCTTTCATATTCCATGTTAAATTTATACATTCATAGCAATTACTTTAAAGGTTTTCAATATTTTTCTACTCTTTAAAAATATAATCTCAGTGAAATACAAGAAATGAAATAGAGAAAATAGTCGAGGAGTGTTATTTCGATTATGATCAAGCAATTGTCATGAGTTTGATTCGCATCACTTGCTGGAAATAATTCTCTAATTAAAGATGTACTGGAATTTTAGTATATTCCTATTCCAAAGCGATCCTTTCGGGAAAAGACCTCATCACAATAGCCAATACAGCCGGTCAAACCAAAAATTATAAGAGCTATTGGAAGAGGAAAAGAAAATGAAACACACTGACTTATCGATGAATTCGCCAGATTTTATCTGAAATATTCAATTTTTTTCAAAAAAAATCAATTATACTTGCAGAATGTCAATTATACTTGCAGAATGTTTTTAATGAATTTATTTAAGAAAGAATATGATAAGGGACAAGCAGATCAACAGGTCAACTAACAGAACTGCCTTTTATAAAAAATTATGCCTCAAACTAGCGATTCTTCCAATGTTATGCTTAAAACCAAACTGCAGTGTCAACTTCATGCTTCTTTGGATATTTTGGATTTAATTTATATTGAATGTCTTAAAAATTGTAAAGCAATTTACTTATAATTATAAAGCAAAGGTCTATACTAACTTTTATAAAATTTTTATACACCTATTAAATCGAATTTGATTAAAAATCATGTTCACACCTAATTCAAGAAAAAAAATGAGAATGTATTGGGAATTCAAAAGACAAAAAGGAATTCAATATATAGGGATATAAACTCGAAATATTTTTTGCAAAAAAAGTTCAAAACCTCATCATTTCTGAATAGGTTCGCTTTAACGGCTATTAAGATGAGATTCATTTTGAAACAGAAATATGGGGCCTAGTAAGATTCGAATTCTATTTTTAGCGACAGATTTTCCTTATTACTGATGAGTACGTTAAAAACTCAAAAAACGAAATATATCATTAAGAATTGTTAAAACCATTAGAGGAAAAAAATTTCTTTTCACATTCAATATATTGTCGATTAATCAACATTCATTCAACAGCTGCATCAAAAAATTACTGCCTGAGATCAGATTTGAAGAGATTTCTAGAATTTTTTCCTTTGTTCATATATTCTTCTAATTCACGATCTAACTCCTCACGAGTCTTCTTTTGTCGAAAAGTACCACGGTAGGAAAAGCGTGGTCGCACTGTATAATGGAAAGACCTGATATTTTGAAATCTCTGAGGTCGATATAATCGAAATGTACCAAATTGACGACGACTGAAAACGATATGTCATATCAAATATAATCCACAATGTTTGGTAATTTAGTAATAAAAATTGTTGAAAATTTTAAGTATTTCATGAATTTTTGCAAATTTATGCAAATTAATATTTTAGTACACTTTTAAAAATTGGTAATGTATCATTAAGAACTATTAGAACGAGTAGATAGTTACACCTTTAATGTCTATTTACAAGAAACTTTATAATAAAGTTAAATTAAAAAATAATTACAACTTATTTACCTTTTAAAATCTTTCCCTCTATAGTTAAAGTGATTGAAATTTGACTGCATAGCTTGCGAAGTGAATGAAACACGATCATGAATTGACCTTTTTTGGAATAATCTGGGACGATAACGGCGTGGAGGAACACGAATATATTCTTCACCAGTTTTGCCATCTACTAAAAGATCATAATCGCTACCAATATTATCATACTGATCGGTATTCTGTTGAAAATTAACTTTAGGCACTATTTTGGTTACAGAAGCGGATATAGCAGGCACTGGTGATAATCGTGAAAATCTGAAAAAATAAAGTCAATCAGATAATATTTAACATTAATTATTAAATTAAAAATAGCGCTAAAAAATGCAATAAAATCGAAAAAAAGAACTTTTAAACTTTATAAAATTTTTGAATCCTTCAGTAATCAAGAAATCGAAAGAATCACTTAAAAAAACTGGAAAAATTTATTATACGCACCTTCACAAATTTGTTTTTTTCATCGCCTTTTTAAATAATTAGTTCACAACAAGTTACTTGGTTAATGATTTATTATTTAGTTACTTTATTTGTTTATTTATTTAGTTACTTTATTTATTTATTCACCTTCTCAACAATTTTTTTTAAAGAAAAATGAAGGTTTTTCTTATTTTTTTGCATTTATTTGATGGAATGGCTTTTAAAGAATGGTTCTAAAAACTATAACTTTATAACGACAAAAAATTGAGGATATTAGAAATTTTTAAAATTTTCGACTGTTTGATTTCAAATCAACATAGAAAATTTCTGGCTTGGATGGTTGCATTGATTCACTACACTTAGAAAACGAGAACTAAATTTTAAAAAATGTATATATATATACAAGATTTAAAACTGCTTAAACTTACTGTCCGTTTCATCATTCAGTCAGTAAGAAATAGAAATGTAAATAGAAATTCCTCGAACTACATCCATGATATAGAATTATTAAGAATCGTGACAGATTTATTTCCATTAAGGAAGGAATGACAATGAAAACTCGTAATGCTAAATCTGAGTCGAAGCAGCACACAATTCTACAACCCTATCTCCACAAAGAAATAATTGGTTTAAAATTTGTAAAGTAGTTTTTGGGATTGCAGAATTATTGAAGTTGAACTCGAATTCTATAACCTAAATAATAAATACAAAAAATAAGACGGCTTGAAGAGTTCAAACACAGATATTTCTCGAGCAGTTTTTTAAAATTATCCAAAACTTTCACAAGCTTAGGTGACAGCAAAAAAGAGCTGAAAAAAACAAATATAACCTTTCATTCAAAGTCATCGTTGGTGCATTACAGTATAAAATCCGTGAAGGAATCTCATACATCGTGATTGGAAACTGAAAAGAAATTGAATATTTTTATAATTAATACTTCAACGTTTTAATGACTGTGGAGCCAAATAAAAAAATTTATAATTAAACACCTCTCGCAATTATTTAAGAAATTCCGCTAAGCCAATCAAACACCCTGGAAATCATTGCTACACCGCACTGCTTTGCTATTAATTGCATTTTCTTTCGATAATAATGATGTTCGAGTAAGTCAACTACAATATTATTTATCACGAATCTAGAATTTGCGAAATGCAATTTGGAAAAAGTAGAAATGGTTTTAAAACGAAGACCATCCCAACCTTCCCCTAACCACTCGCCCCTCCACTGTTTCTGCCACCAAGTAAAACAAATAACAAACAATAAAATCAAAAAAACGATAAATATAACAGAATTTGAAACAATCACTTATATCGCAATCATGTATTCGTTATAAGACCTAAATTTGAGATAAGAACTAAATATTAATATGGTTTAATGATCGATTTTTTTTCGAATGATCGGTGGTGATTTTCGCATGCTTTTTTAATATTTTTATGTGGTTTAGAAAAGTGGTTTTACGTTGCAAATCTCGAGTTGGCTTCTTTCGGGTCGTTGAAATAATTGTCATGTGACCTTTAACCTCAGTTTTTAGACGAAGAAAAATTTTTTAGAAAAATTGAATTTCTCCAGAAAAATTGTATTTTTATCAGTAAAAGAAAGGAACAAAGGTGACTAAAGGTGATGCAAATGAAACCAAACAATTCTCATAAAATCGAAATCACTTAAAATCACATCTTTACCTGAGTTCCACGAAAGAGCATTCGAGTATTCATTCACCGTTTCAGTGATCCATTTCACCAATATATGTAAGCGGATGCTGTGGTCCTATGGTGAGAGCTGTGGTGAAAAAGCCTACCACTCGATCATTTAAATTCGCAAAACTTCGTAGATTTCTCGTTAATCTCGCTGATTAACACGGATTTTTTAATTAATTATCTAGATAGAAATAAATAGTTAATAATCTGATAAATAGTGAAGGGGATTGTTTGAATAAGAAAGGTGATAGGCTCTTAGGCTTGGCTAGTTCTTGGCCTTTCTGCCCTATTTTTCACTTCATTTATGCAGTCATTTGAAAAATTATGCGACCGAATGATCGGTTTTTTGGCATCAATTTAAAATCGAGGATTTCAGCAGATAAAGTAGCATTGGAGTGAGATGGTCGAGTGCTGTGGTACTTGAATAAATTCACGCCGTAACGTACATTCCATTCATTTCCCATCCTTTCCTTCGTCGAGAGTAAACCTACCATTAAAAGTAGGGGGTGAATGTACATTTCTATTTCTACATGGCTGTTCACTTTGCAATATCACGTTTCAAATATGCTTTGTTTTCAGACAAAGACGGACGCGTGATTTGAATGCAGTGCTAACTATCAGTACGAACTTTTTGGCCAAGCCAACATTTTTTCGAGAATGCCGAAGTGCTCTTCCTCTCTTCTCTCTTATTTCCCCTCTTCCACTGTCATAACCTTTGTGACCTGTTGCCGTAACTTCTGTGGCTTCCCTGTCATGACCTCTTCTATTACTCTCGAGACACTTCTTCCCATAAGCGATATTTGGACGACTTATTTTTTTGTAATATTTTTAAAATAAATCGAATGTAAAGGACGTACGAGAAATAAAAATATGATTTATAAGCATCCACATTTATTTTTCCTATTTCATTCATCTGAAATATTACTATAAAAAAGGAAATAGCTCGTTCAAATGTCGTTTATCAATCATTCGTTTACCGTGTCATCGTTCCAATAGGTGACAGGAATTTTACATAGTTGTCTCCACGATATCCCTGCTTCTGGTTCTCGCTGGTTCCTCAGTGAAGACCGCATTTATTTATTTGTACCAGTATTAGAAGATTCTTTTTCATTTATTATTAAATAGTATTGGGATAGGACAGCCGAGTGCATGCAATGCATATTTAGATTATCGCGTTGAGAGGCAAACGGTTCCGTTTCTGCCTGCCGTCAGTCAGTGGTAATGACGACCCATTCCTGCTTCTGGTTCTCGCTGGTCCCTTAGTGAAAACTGTATGAGGAGCGAATATCGCTTACGGAAATGGTCACCGCAGTTCACTTATTATTTTTATGTTTTTAATTATTCTAAAAGTTATTTCCAAATAAATTTATATATAATTTTATTTTTAATTTGTTTTAACATTTATAACTTTAAATAATAAAAAAATTTGATTAAAAACCTAAAATAAAAACTTGATTTCGAAATTTAATATATTAAAGAATTAATTAATTAATAAAAATTGAATTGAAATATGCGATAAGGACTTTCTTCCATTAAATTCAATGCCAAAAACTTGCTTTTTTATTTTTCAGATGTTTTTCTTAAAAATTAATTTTAAACATTTAAACCTAATCTTGTAGGTCTTTTTAAAAGACACAAAAATGCAAATACAAAAATTAAATGAAAAAATTAGATCAAAATTCAAAAGCAAAAAATTATTGGAGTACCATTACCATTATCCTGTAAATTGGACGAATTTCTTTAAGTATCAAAATACTATAGGTTTATTTTATTATTTTCATATAGTGACTTTTTTGTTTGCTATTTCTTTTTTAAGGGGTCAAAAGGGCACATTATCGATTGATTTCTTTTATGTGTTTTTGAGGGGTCGAAAGGGCACATTATCGATTTTCTCGATTTGTAAAAAATCGGATGAATCTTCTTCATCCAGTGGTTCATCGAATGGCAATTGCAGCAAATTAGCTTGCATAGTCGTCGTCTTCTCCACATTAATTGTAACTATATTTTGTTATTTGCTTTGCCCTTTGACCTTTCTCTCCTTTTTCTCGCTTATTTCCGAGTTCGTTCTTCTGCTATTCATATATTCAAATAAATAATTTGTGCAATTGTCTTTTATGTCGTCTTTTGTTGACCTGTCTCGTCCCACTTACCCTTCCAATTTTTTGCCATTTTTGTCCCTATTTTATTGGTTCGTTGCGATTCGATTATCTGATTATTTTTATTCGGAATTAGCAGAGATTTTGGTTTTAAGGTTTCCTAAGAAACAACAAATTTTACAAAGAAACGTTTGGAAAGGTTCCACAGTATTCCGCAGTCTATGTATATATTACGTTTAAGGAGCAAAGGAAAATGGTTAATTTCTCAAGATTATTTTCCCTTTATTTATTTCATTTTGTATTTTTGCTAAATCCAACTTTATTTTAGTTTAATTTAACATTCAACATTTAACATTCAAAACGCTCTTTTTGATAAATAATTCTATTGAATTTTTCCAGTAATTATTGCTAATTATTATTTCGTAAATTGCATTTTTAAAAAAAGAATATTAAATTGATAATTTATAAAATATATGAAACTTAGCGCCTTTGTGCGCACGAGATGGGATCATGTTTCAGTCAGAGCGGAATGCTTGGCGCTGTGGTTATTCGAGGTGTGTAGGAAATAGGCAATACTGATCTATTCCATGAATTTCGAATATAAATCTTCAAGAAATTATTTTAGGATCGGATGAATTGTCTCGTTCCAGTCCGTTTATCTTAGTAGTTGTTTGCTGCTAAATTCTACTGTAGTTCTGGTATCGGTTAATTAGCCCCATAGCCCAAAGTTGCTGGATTGACTCAGTGTTTTTTATTGAATAAGGTTAAGAATTTTGGATTTCTCCATTTCTGTTGTAAATTAGAAAGCTTGACTGTGGCTTTGTGCACTTTTTTATTCCCAAATGGAAGTCGAACTTCTCGTTGAAAGTGAAATCCGGGTGGTGCTGCGCATCTTTCTATTATAGCATGCATTTATTTCTCCAGTTGACTCTCACCCAGTGATTATTTGCCTACTTAGCCTATATTACGCCCAATTGTAAAATTGTTAAAGTCAATTAAATAAAATCGTTTTTATTCGATCATTTAATTATTTATTTAATTATTATATTTATTATAATTATTCAATTATGAGATTTTAGTCAGTAATTGATTTATTTTTAGCTTTTTCAAATAAATAATATTTAATATAATATTTATTTCACTTTGATTCAGAAAAAGTCTTTGAAAAATCGTTGGCATTTCTTAATTTTTTTTAATATTCCAATATTCAGTTTTTTGTAAAAAATTATTCCCTTATTGATTATTATATTGTTAATTAATAAATTTTAGATTTTAAATTTTAATAATTAATTATGGATTGAAGAAATGATTTTCGTAGTATAATTTTTTCATTTTTGTTAGATTTCTGTTGAAATACAATTTTTTTGTTGAAGATTTTTCATAAGAAAAATTCTGAAAAGAAGGAAATTTTTTCGAAAGAATTGTTATTTTTAGTGACTTTTTATTTTTTTAAATTGTATTTTTTATATTAATTGTTATTTTTCCTCTGCGAAATATTTTATATTTTGTATTGTTTCGAGCTTTTATCTTTTTTTTTAATGGAAAAATCGGTGGAAAATTATTTTAAATTACAAATTTTATTTTTTAATAGAATTATCGAATTTGGCGATCTTTTTTTCTTTTTGTTGAAATCTTCGTTTTGCATTTTTAAATTTTTTTCCCGCGGCTAATTTATTTAATTTTCTTTGTGCGCGGGAAAATTTCCACTCATTTTAATGAAATATTTGTTTGAAATTTTTTAAAAATTAATCCTATTTTTTTATTATTGGTTCTGTTTTAATAATTAAACCATAAAAAACTGAAAATTATAAAAATTTATGTGAAATACACATCGATCCACATTATTTATTAGGTGAACTGAGTTGAGTGCAAATATTAGTCGGTCGAGTGCTTCGTTTGTTAGCCTTCAGAACCGTTTAGATTCCTGTCGACTGATGAGAGTAGAAGAGAGAGTGAAAGTTGAGAGCTGAGGTTCGATTTGTTTCTACCGACTTATTTATGCTTCAGTTTAATTATACTCACTGTAGTAATTGATGTGCTTGTTCGTGACTTACAATACAAATTATTGACAAGAAAATGGTGCGATTATAACAGAGATACAAAGTAAAAAATAGACGGCAATGGAAGAGGAAATGGAATGGAAAAAAAAAGGAGAAGGAGAGAAGGATGGAGGAATGGAGAGACTTGTGCTGCCTGAGCATGGGCCAGATAAGCGAAAAGTTCCAGGAACCTTTGAGTTTCTGGGTTCATGAGAGGGGTCTGATCGCATATTGCATCAACTAAGGTCAGGTCATCATAACTCTGGTTCTTTGATAAGAGAAAACTGGCATTGAAATGAAATCTGAATGTTGCTTAGAGTTTAACATTTCTATCACCAAGTCACTTGAGATTACTGAGTATGGGCCAAAGTGATGTTGTAGCCAATGGTGCAACGCAAACAAGAAATGGTGAATGTTTTTAAGGAGAACGATGGAGATTAGGTGATTGGTAATGAAGTATTATAGATATTCAAATGTGAAGCATTAGTCTGTGGTGGTCGAAATAAATTTATGGTATTCTAGCGAACAGTTGTTATTTTTCGTTTAGTAATATTTAAGCATTTAGTTTTTGAGCCATCTATCTACTTCAACTTAGCCATTTATTTATTTCTAAAAATATATAGAAATATCAAAAAAACTATTTTTTTAATTAATTATTTTAAAATTATTATAATTGATTAGAGTATTTTCAGTAAGTGTAATGAAAATTTAACCAAGTTTTATTTAATTCAACTATAAATGGTTAAATAAGCAAGGAAGTGATGTATTTCTGTGCAGCCTAGCATGCTGTCTGTTAGTTCATCGAGAGATTTTTGCTAGAAGTTGCTTGGTAGTAAATTATAAGTACGACACCTGGTTTTTAAACCTGAGAGATTCGCTATCAGGACCATGAAACTGAATCTGGGATGCCCGAAGGATACCATTTTCATACCATTCACTTTGATAGCATCCTAAGTTAACATTAAATTAAAAAAAGTTGATATAATATATCTGTAAAAAAAACTAATAAATTATTTTATTTCGCATTAACATTTGTAAAAATGTTAATGCGAAATATTATTATATATCTTGGTATATTATATAATATTATTATATATTATGTATTATTACATTAGTAAAAATATTACTATAAAATATTAATAAATTATTAATAAATCTTTTTCAGCCAAGCAAATCACCTCATCGTCCTTCAATGAAACAATCTTCTACCAAATCCCAGTCGAAACAGGCTTCAAAATCACCTAAGAAAAAGGAGACAAAGCAGAAATTTTCTATTGAATTGCGATCCAAAGGATCACCGAGCAGATCAAAAATGGAATCTTCTGAAAGTCGAAAATCGGCTAGTAAAAGTCCAAGTCGCAGTTCAAGAACTCCTGTAAGACATGTTCAGAAAAAATCGAGGAGTCGTTCCCATAGTCGTGGAAGAAAAATCGATTCGCAAAGAATGAAGCCTAAGGTGCAAGCAAAATCGCGACCATCCTCTCGTTCTCAAAAAATTATCAAATCTAATAAAAATCTCAGTAAAAGTTTTTTTTTTGATAGACCTAAGATTTCCATTCCATCATTCGGTACGGATAGCAGATATGGTAAAATTTATGTAAGCACAGAAAAGATTATACCCTCAGATGATTTACACCTTCGAAAAGATAATATGTCACCATCGGGAAGTCTATCGTCACGTCAGCATGTCTTGGATTCGGCAGAAGAATTACTTCGTCGTCGTACTTTTGAACCATTACATGAAACAATGCGATCTGCACCAGCTTTTGGTTCTCGTACTCCATCAGCATCGCCAAAAAAAGTCGAAAGAATACTCGAAAAGGCACCTTCACGTATGAAAGCTCATTTTCGTCGTTTCGGCCTTTTCTACATAATTGTCTTCTTACTTTGTGCTGTCGTTTATAGCGTCTATTCGTCTGGTCATCAACTTGAAAAGACTCTTAAAGAACTGCAAAACAGGATGAATGATTTTCTCATCCGTGATCCAAAAGAATATTAATTCATCCAAGTTGATTTCCATAATTAGAGTGTCGAACCGGTTTCCTCAACCCATATGAAATGAAAATTTATTTTAAAAGTTTATTTTTGCTACATTTTTTTTATATTTTTCAAATTTTTTGGATTTTTTTTCTCTTTTTATTTTAACTTTTTTTCCTAATTCCATTGTTAAGATCGTCCAAAACCTGTTTCATATTTTTTCATTAAGTTTTCCGCAAAATATTTTCATAAAATTTAAAGATCTCTTTGCTGAAGATCTCGAAGATCGTTTTTTCTCAGCGTACATTCAATATTCAACAGATATTAAAAATTTAAGTAATGTAATGTAATGTCTGATTTGTAACAGCTATGACAATTGTCTACAAAATTTATGGTACTTTCTGGTTAAATATATAGCGTTGATACCTATCAATTAAGAAAATAATGGTTCGTGGAAGAGAATAGAAGGGTGAAAGAAGTTTATAAAATTGAATATAAGAATATAATATTGAATAAGTCTAATAAAGAAAATTTTTTGCGAAATTCTAACAAGCAAATAATCCGAGAAAATAAAGGAATAGGAAGAGAGGGCACGACAATACTCTATTTATTTGCCAGAAAAGTACCATTCTTTTAGCCTTTTATTTACCTCGAAATCGAATGTCATTTATGTTGTATGCTACCGTCAATCGGCAATACGTATGCGACTGTAAGTGCGTTTCATTTCATTCCTATTTTTTTAAATATCCATTTCATTCATTTAATAAAAGTTAAGCACCTTTTTTAACTGACACGGCCGAATAAATAAATTGCATATTATTTTCCAATGTTTTAAATTTTCAATATATGGGAATATTTTTCAAATACGACATAATTAGTATCTCTTAGTAAAAAAATCTCAATATTCTACCATCTCTTGTTCGTTTATTTGTTCGTTTATTTGTTCTCACTGTTTGATTTTGTTTCCGTACAAATATTCAGATGTTTTTTGGCTATAATTTTTAATTTTTCATCTTAGCTGTCCTCGCTGAAATCGTTTTTTTATTGATTGTTGAATAAATTTAGGTGAAAGGAAATTTCAGGAAAGCAAATAGATCGTTCCAATGAGAACTTGTAGGGAAATTGGCTTAATGTTTCATTTTAACTTTTAATTTGTTCGTTCTGTTCGTTCCTTATTTTTTGCATTTAAATTTTATATTTTGCATTTATTAATTATTTTAATACTTTAATAAATTAAAAATTTGATCTATCTTAGTGATTATTTTCGTTTATTTCCATAAATAATTTTTTTATTTTATTGATGTACATCTTTGGTTTATTGACTTTCTTGTGTACTCTTCTCAGTGAAATATTTTCCAAATAATTTGTTCCACAGTTTTCTAATTCTTTTCTCATTTTCGAAGAAAAAAAGTGTAAAAGAATTGGAGTAGAATAATTCTATTGGAGTAGAATAACTGGAGTAGAATAGCTCGTTGAGTGGGTGTAAGCACTGTTCTCATTTTGGAATGTCAGTACTAAGGTTCGCCTGGCAGAATTAATTTCCTTCAAAAGCCGAGGTGTTGATGGCGATTTACTTGCATTTCTATCAACCATCCTAGCCAGTCGTCTCTCCCGCAAAAAATTCGGTAAACTAGTGAAGATGGTGAGCGTTTTCGAAGAAGAAGAGGAAATTAGATATGAATAAATTTTTGGAAAATAATAATATACCTGAAATGTAATTCTTACCTCTTCAATTTTCTTTGAAACCTCTTCTGTGCAAAATTTTTCATTTTCCTTACTATTTGTAAATTCCTCTTATATGCAAAAATTCTTTTTTAAATTTCAACTTAAAATAGAATAAAAAAAGTTTCGAATCCACCCGATTATGTTTTAACGCCAAAACACTTATTTGTATGCCGAAAATGTAAGGAAAATAAGGCGAAATCGAGAGGCCTAGTCGCTGTATTGGCTCGTTTTATTTTTCTTCAATTATGCGTGCAATTCTTCGGTTTACCGCCGTTCTACCAATTTTACTGATAATTTCCATTAAAAAGGCCTTTTTATTTTTGCTCGAATGAAGATGTGAAATTATTGGAATAAAGATTTTAACGATAAAATAGTACTCTAATTACGGTATTTCGTTGCGACGAGTCGAACACGTTTATATGTTCGTAATATGTCCATTTTTATAATATAAAATATTATAAAATTAATTATTTTATTTCGGGCAAAAAATTTGTATTTTTCGGCAAATCGGGCGAAAGGGTCGAAATATTAGCAAATTAACGTTTGTAGAATGTTAGTGGTGGGGAAAGTCTAAAACACAGTCGTTGAATCCAGTTGGATCAAATTTTAACGCCAGTCGTGGTAACCAAAATCCACTAAAATTGACTGCGGCTTCGACTGACTTCGGTGATATGCCAAGTAGATCGACGAAATTCAGTATTCAGTATCAGACAGCTGTTTGGAGGATACATCAACTCGCTCGCAATCATTTTCAGATGGCGATTTTGCGCAAATGCAGTTTCTACTACTATGTAAATGCGTTTGCGATTTAATCTTGTAAAGCCAAATTAGAAAAAGAAATAAATTGGTTCTCACTGAAAGAATTTTATATTTCAAGGCTAAAATTAACTCGGCTAGAATGCTCGATTGTAAGAAATTTTATGGTTTTTACCAGGGCTTTCACTTGCAGGTGAAACTATAAGGCGCTATAAGTACCACGGAGTTCGTTAATGGCACTACTATTGCTCCTACCAAGAGATTTACTCCTGTCAACGAATGATAAATTTCATCAATCATAGATTGTCATTTCGGATATTCAAAATTTATTTTTTTTAAAAATTCTTAATTTCTCGATTTCACAAATCTTTAATAAATTCCTCACAAATTATTGGTGAATTAAAAAATTAACCAATGTTTTGCTAGAAGCACCTTCGTTATATTTGCACACGCTTGATTGTAGAAAATAAATTAAACAGGGTTGGTGGTGCTTTATTTTAACAAATTCAAAAGCTGGTTCAATTTTTCGAAATGCTTAACTGACGAACGAACATTGAAAAATAATTTTCTTAATTCTCTCCCTTCTTGAAAAGTCGTCGATTTCATCAAATGCGCAGTAATAAAATCGTTCATGCTAAACGATTTCCGGAATTTCGCAGATTCGCAGAATTGTCCGACAAAACGATAAGTGAAGTGAACGTGTGATGCAACAGTTTGCGATAATTCATTTAAATCTCTTCATACGTCGAAGATTTTTATCGAAATTTTGATCAATTAAATCGCTTTGCATCAAAAATTTTCGAAAATTTGCGATAAAGTAGGAAAAAAACATTTTAGTTGTTCTGCTTATAAAAAAGTTTTCTGATAACCAATGATGAAATGGCGACTGCAATATAATCGGTGGAAGTAATTCGGTGCTAGCTTTTCTTCACCGGACGCCACTCGCAATTTTCGATTTAATTGGTTCCACTAAGACAAAATTTCGCAGCCAGAATAATCACTTACGCCCTCACCCTCGCCCTCACCAGCACCACTCTGATTTCCTCAACCTTAGTCGCCATATAAGACTCGACCATCTTACACCAATTATTACCTCTGTAATTGGAAAAATGGTATAAATTCTGCAATTCTTCTTTTACAGTGAATTTATCAAAAACATTTCTTAGTTGTCATAAAGATTCGTGAGAAAAACTACAAAATTTGCAAATGCTTTGTAAATCTGTAAATGCGCTTTGCAAACTGCGATGACAAAAGATGGACAAAATAATGAAATATTAACCAAAACTGGTTGGCGTTAAACATTGCTTGAAGGTAGATTATTTAAAATTATTTCAAAAATAGCAAATTTTTTTGGAAATTACCTAATCATGCCGAATATGGAAGACGAAAGTTCTAAAGATACATTGTGATAAGATTATCAGTCTTTTGCAATGATATGAACTTTATTTTTTTTTAACCTTAAAAAGTTTTTATTTCACTGAATGCTGTGCTATTCCAATATTTCTTATCACCCATAGCTATTATCTTTCATATTTCGTTGGTAGTAAGGAATTAAAAAATATTTTGGCATTTTGGTATTAAAGGAAAAAGGTCGACGAAGCGATTGGCAATAACCCAATTATCATTCCACCTCCATAAGTCCATTATATTCTTTCTCATAATCTATCTTAATGAAAAGCAGTTGAAAGCAACATTTTGAAATTCTAAATTCACCTAGCAGTAACAGTTGTAATTTTTCCGTGGAATTGTGAAACTTTCACAATGTCCTCCTTACTATTTCATATAAGTTATGAATGAGGGAATTTGAGCAATTATTTCAAGAATACATCTTCGACAAAAAATCGAAAAATATTTATTTCTTCAGAACGTTTGCTATATTTCGAGAAATGATTTCCAGAATATTAATTTAAGAAGAATCTTAACTTAAGAACTCCAAAGTCTGTTGAAATCTGTCCGCCTATTTTCGAACATCTAATTCTGCAGGTCGGATTATTTATTATTGTTCGGTTGTATCAACTCGATCGTTGTTAGTTCCATAGCAGCTTTAGGTAACTGAGGGGGCATACTCAACTCTGCTAAATTTTATTATTTTTGCAAAAAAATTCAGTTTTTTTCGTTACAGAGATTTATAGAAAAATACAAATTAAGCCAAATTATCCTCCTCATTCTGATTCTTTCGATTGTTTAGGATTAAGAATGAGTCAGATCATAATCTCGAGTGCTAGATTTCGGAATAAGGAATTAAGGAATCTAGTGGAATTAAGACTAAAAAATCTGGGTGGTAGCAGCGATACTTTCATTGCTATGCGCTTTCCTGGCTAAATTTCTCCTCCTTTTGCTAGCCAGTTGAACTGGATTTAACTGGAAATGATATGTGCTTGCCAGAAAATTATTTATTTTGCTGAAGGCATCAATTTGACTTTATTTTTCTGCAATCACAAATTTTATCACATTTTGTAAACAACAAATGAAAAAAGATTCTAACTTATAGTTAATCTTAAAAGTGAAAAAAAGTGACATGCAAAAAAATTTTTGGCCAAA